CTCCAATCCATCATGAGGGATATGTGACATTCAAAACATTACAGACCATGGCAGAAAAATGTGCTGGAGCTCCATCATGCATAAACTACATGTCTCTGGCTGGGGAGTGCAACAGCCTGCAATAAACTCAAAAGCACTTGTTACAGTAAGATACGATATGTTGCGCCGGTTAAATGGTCTGACATGATGTAAGGGCCTGCCAGGTAATCAACTAAAATACCTACCCAGACGTTCACAAAAAATTTCTGCTAGTGTTTATGAGGGGTAGTGAAGTGGAAGATTGCTGTCAGACCAAACATGTTGATTATGTGCATTGAAAATGCCTTCTCTGCTGAATGTTGCCTCATCACTGAATAATATTAATGCAAGAAATCGTGGATTGCTTTTCCTCATTCCAAGCATCCACTGCACAAAGTCTGCCCTGCAGGAAAAATCATCTGTGTCCAAAGATTGCACTTTTTGCACATGGCAGGGGTGCATGTGTTCCTTGGTAAAATATGTCGCAGCACTGGCTAAGAAATACCTATTTCTTATGCCACCACTCGCTGCTTCAAATCTAATCAAAACTCGCTCTTCCATTTCTGGTGTTCGTGCATTTCATGAATGTCCTGCATTGCTTTTTGAGATGGCAAAAGAACTGGTTTCTTGCAGTCTTTGATTGACATTGGAAAAGGTTGGATGACTTGGAATCCGACTAGTTGGAAATTGCTGTTCGTACCCAACTAATTGGAAACTGCTGTTCGTACAATCTTCATGCTTCGTGTCCATTTCCTTTTGCTTTATCATATGTGAGGTGAATATCTGCCAGTTCCTCATACATGTACTCTGCCACAGCATTCACAAAAAGTTTCAGATGATGTTATCAGGGTAATATATGAAGCAATGATCTGCAGCTTTCACGGACAACGTTTGCTCCTTTGTATCTTCAGCGTGCAGAACTCTGTATCGGAAATTCTAAAGATAGGCTCATTTTAAAATTATTTTGCGACATTGCTATTGAACTGAAATTTATGGTTAAGTGCAAAGAACATGATATTTAATAAATAAAGGTAACACACAAAACGTTAAAAAAAAACGCCCCTTTGGACATAATTTAAAATCTGTAGCCTATCCGATTTTTTTTTTAAATTTTATTTTTTATAATGAATATAACATTTCCCTATATATAAATGTAGCTACTAGGAGAATGTACACAAAGTTAAATTTTGAAACTATTAAAAAAGTGACTTTTTAAGATTAAGAATTGCTTCACTGTTTGGGGAAAAAACTTGGATATTTGAATAATTTAAATCAGTTTTGTATGTGTAAGTTTATGTCTACAACCAACAATTGCAACATTAATACATTTTTTAAACCGCCTTTCATTTAAAAAACTGTTTCTTGGTGTTAATATTGCATATTAGTGATTTTTCTTAAATAGATTTCATATTTAGGCTTAACATCTTTTTATTAGCCTTATTTCTTGCTTTTGATTATATATATATGTAGAAGCTAAGAATAAGAACAACATAAATTTTCATTAAAAGTTATTGAAAATTTTAATGCTATTCTTTTGATGTTTTAGTTTGCATATTTCACTGAAAATAGGGTTGGAAAAATTACTGAGAATCAATCATTGAGTTTTAAAATGTTAAAATTTTCACTTATTTCCTTAGAAATATTCTTGTTTCACTTCTGAAAGATAGGAATTTGCATCAGTAATTTCTAGTGCATTACAAAAAGGATTTGTTTGGGAAGTGGCATAATAACCACATTCTATGTTGTTATGCACAGTGGTTTTTGACACAGCTTGGTTTTACTTGAAGTAAATGCAAAATTAAAGTTTAATTTCATCATTTATCTTATGACCTCAAACTCATATGGGCATGTGTAGCTTCCTAATTTCTGCATTAAGAAAAGGTGGAAGAAGTTATAAAAGCAGTTTTAACTATTGTAGGACTTTTTTGAGTTTAGCTTTATGGCCTTTTATTTATTTATTTATTTATTTTTTAAACCCATATATAACATGAGAATGGGCTAGAAAGTCTTCTTCAAAAGCATCCCTATTTGTGGGTAGATAGCCTAGTATTCTTTTTCATAGTATAATAAATTCAGTTTGGTTATAATTTAAAACCTATCATTTAATATTAAAATTTTGTGCTAGTGCACCAAGTTGTAATGTACGGCAAGTTAGGTAAAATAAATTTTGTAATGTTGTAATACATTACTAATATTGTATGTAATTGTAAATTCGAATTTAATGGTATTTCTAAATTTTTTACATTATATTTATTAAAACCAAGTTAATAAATTCAGAAGCCCTGGAAGGTTAGGTTAGGGTATTTGAATATGAGAAAGGTGCAAGGGCTATCTGTTTAAGGAGAGGAATGCCTTTATGGAGGATTTTCTTAGGAAAACTGGTTCATATTTTTGTTATACAGGTGAAAACTATCAGAATCAATCATGCAGCCAGCTCAGTTGCTTTGAACCCAGTGTGAGGATGCTTTCTAGATATTGCTGAATACATTTAACTGTTGTTATGGTGGAGTCTCTCCATAATGATATGTTGCTATTGAAAATTGGCTGTTTGTTTATTGGCACATTCATTTCGATAAATTTATTTATCAAAAACTTAATTTTCTGTAGGCACTCTGGATTGCCATGCAGCAAAGTTAACACCAAAATGTAGTCTGGCATTCTTGTCTAGATTTTAGGCAACCAGTAGCTGAGTGGCTAAAAGAATGAAATGCCATATTATATATATATATAGAATGAAATGCCAGATTATATGGATATTAAATTTTATTTCCAATGACAAGGCAAATTCAAAAGTACAGAGGTACAAACAAACAATAAAAGGCATAGATAAAAGTGACCTGAGTCATTGCCTCTCTACACATAAGTAAGTGCCATTTCAGAGTCACCAAGAAGTGAAGCACATTGATGAAGGCTATTCCAATTGATCTGTGAAATTATGGGAAGGGCAGATAGAATTTGAAAAGATTCCAGTAGAGGTGCTCTGCCAAGCAGTCGTATCCTGTCAGGAGCAAGAAAATTCTTCAGAAATTGTGGATGTTACCCTCTTCTGGGGATTTCTTCATTCTGTGGCACTCAGTGCCCATTCTAAGTTCATCTAGGGAAAAGGAACTGTAAAAATAGCTTGACTGTCATATGAACTGTTTAATTTTTATCTCATCTTCTCTAGTCTCTTTTTTAATACCCTATTTTTTGAATCTTAGTAAAAGCTTGGCCTGAAGCATTAGCCACAGTTTTATCTGAAGTTAAACTTGCCCCATTAAATGAGATAGGTTCGTTTTTAAGAGCTGTATCTTATTTTGCAAGGTTCACCAGAATTGATTTTGTTTTCTTAATATACCCATATATGAAAACATATAAATTCTTGTCAGCCTTGCAGAATAAGAGATAAGTTCTTAAGAAAGAACAATCACATTTAATGGCAAATTCAGATAAAGCTGTCACTAATGCTTTTGGCTAAGCTTTCTCTATGATTGAGAAAAAAGGGATGTTCTCCCAGAATATATAAAAAAAAATTAAGAAAGAAAAGTCAGAGAAGATGAGCAAATATTAAACAGCTTAGATGATACTCATGTACTCATGCAATTTTGGGTATTTAAAACAATTCATTGAATACTTGTGTCAAAAATGTCTTAACTAAGTTTTTATTTTTTTAAGGTGTTCTTTGGGCATTTCTTTGGAGTCAAAGAGTGTTCATTGAGCTGTCCCTAGTTTGTAGGTATTATAGTGACTGAATGGTCAGTTGTAGCTTTTGTTTTCCATGAGAGTGATTTTCATTCAATCTAATTTTGGTATTTTTCTGTTTCGCTGCTGCAACTCTTGCCAAGCAGACTTTTATTGGCGACAACATATATTATACACATAAAAAATTTTAAAAAAAATGTTAGTTCTAAGAATTTTTTAATTTGAAGGCATAAACATTTTAATATCATTTAAAATTTTGTGAAAAGCCAATAAATAAAGACAAAAACTTATAAAAAGACATTAATTTAAGAATTTACTATGCTATTATGGTTCAACATCCTGATTCGCTGGTTCATATCACGTGACGCCAAGTGATCTCATCTCACGTAAACTATGGTACAAAAATGTAATTCTCTCAGTAATTATCTACATTAATTTCAAGTTAAATCTTAATTTGGAATACAAGTTTAAACGCAAGAATTATTTCAAATTGTTCAAATAGCTTACTAAGAAATTGTGTTAACTGCAGTGCTTTACTTTGCTAGTGCATTCTCATTAGGATTGATGAATTTAACTCCTTGACTTTGCCTTTTCTATATTTTTGGCTTCGGATGAGCGGTGTGATTGCATCCTTGACTTAATTACTGCGAATGGCCTTAGGGCTTAAAATTTAACTACCTGGTAAAAATTCTATGTAATTGTATGCCAATATTAAAAGAAACAATCAATCTGATAAGAAATGGCTGTGACTTATTTTGAAAATGAGGCGTAAAAGGTAACCATCGAGGATATTCCGTTTGGCATCAGTTGTACCATTATTGGCGACTTTATCGCTTGCGCCAGCAAAACGGAAAAGTGCCCTAAGTTTTTAATGACTGAGCTGCATTCCAGTAAGTTATGCCTTTAGAAAATGTTTATGGAATTCATTTGCAACCTATAACAAATGTATTTAGTGAAATGCTCAATCTCATATCAAAATAAGTAACAAGTAAGACTTTCTTCTGCGTTTTTAACTCTATCAAAATGATCAACCTACAACTCATATCAAAATAATAAAAAACTCATCTCATATCAAAACAAGTAATAAGTAAGACTTTCTTCTCATTTTTAGACCCATTTTAACTCATATGAGTTAACACTTGAGTAAGGAAACTGTTATTTTACGATGACAGCGAGTTACATGTTGCACATGTACATCATATGCTTATGATCTGTTGTACTGTTTGTTTTAGTTCATGTTGTCTTTGCTTTAATGTGCTTAATTTCAAAGTATGCATTTGTAATAAGTTGATCTTTGACAGGTTTGGATGTTAGCAGATGAAGCTAATCGTAAGTTATGTCCATCTTGCTCTTCTCCAATTGAAAAGAATGAAGGATGTAACCACATGACATGTTGGAAATGCCGGGCTCATATGTGTTGGCTGTGCCTTCAAGTTTTCCCATCTGCATTATTGGTGTATAATCATCAGGCATTTTGTCCTAAGCAGAAAATGTAACATGTGACAACATACAATGCTATAGTTTTATATGAAAATGTTACATAATTTTGATGAGAAAAAGGTGATAAGAATTGCAACTTATTATTTGGAAAAGAAAAATTAGGATTTTAATTTTTTAAATTACTATTCTATATCTTTTAGTAATAATTATGAAGTAGGATGGTTTAAAAAACTGCATAAAATTATTTTCAGTAAAAATCATGCAGTTTCAGATTTTTTGTAATAATTTTTTTAAAACTTGTTTCAAGTTAAAATGTAGTGATGCCCACTGCAAGTACCGTATTTGACGGCATATAAGACGCACTTTTTTTTCTAAATTTGGTCTCAAAAAAAGTTACCTGTGTCTTATACGTGAAGGACACAGGTTAACTTTCAATACTGAATATTATTTTTAGCCCGGATAAAGGTCTAGACACACATAACTTTTTCTACATCTACATGTGTGTGGCCTCCTAAATAAGGGTGTGTCTTATATGCCAGTGCGTCTTATATGCTGTCAAATACGGTATTTTCCAAGGTATTATTTAAAACAATTTTTAAAACTATTTAAACAGTTTTTATTTACAAATTTTTATGATTATGAACCTGATTACATATAACATAAATATGTAGATGACTAATTTGCAGTGACTTCTCTTTATGTGCATTTTTTAAACAGTATTGTTATGATTCTTAGCGAATGATGCATGTCTTGGGAAAAGTTGAAGTATGTGTTTGTATGGTATGTGTACCTTATATTAACTGTAATTTTTTTTATTGCATGTTTATTTTACAAGAATATTGGTAACATTTTGATTTATTTCATATGGTATGTATTGTGACTCATTTACAGTTAAAATAAGTTCTTGATTTTAAAATTTTAAAGTATTTTTATCATATTTAATTAAATTAAAAATTTAATAAAAATTAAAATGTTGTGTTATTTAATCCTTAAAATTATTAATTAATTATTTCATGCTATAAATAATTCTAGTAAATACTTATTCTATTCAAGCGTTAAAAGTATAAGTATGTAGATTGAATCTTTTCTCATATTTTAAGTATATTTCATGAATTATTGTTTTAAGATTTCATGTTTTAAAATTTAAAAGCTTCTTTTTTATCTTAATGTGGCAATCATTAATGATCATTAGTAATTAATACTCTTAATTTTGAATTTATGGCTATAACTTACTTTTTGTTATGAAGACTAGTTAAAAAAGAAAAAGTACTGCATTATACTAATTTTTCATTTTCAAAAATAGAAAACAAAAACATGGCTACTTAAAAAAGATAATAAATTAGAAACTATCACTATCCAAAGGCAGATATTATCATATATTTTGGAAAACATGAAAGCATCTTTGTTTTTCATATCCATTTTGAGCAGTTCTCTCATGATATATGCTTAATAAAAGTTTTACACATGAAAAGCAACACTGAATTACCTACTACTGAAGTTGTCATTGAAATCATTGATCTTCTTTCATTCACTTTTGGTCATGGTCAATGATAATTTTCTTGAGTGCGATTTTATTTTTTTGGCGGGGGCAAATATATGTATAAAATTTAAAGTTAATGGATAAAGTATGTGACAGCATTTCAGGAGTTAAAAATATGCAAGTACTAGGAAGTAGGTGCCAGTTACATGAACTATTCTATCTTATGTTTACTGACTGATTTTTATGTGAACAAATTTTCAGACTATGTAATGGAAACAGGAATTTTGTCAAGTTTACAGTTTTGATTGTAATTTCTATGTAGGTCAGCTGTCACATTTTGTTGAACTTTGGGGTTTGGGGTCTGCTTATTGACTATGCCCTAGTATATGCCCTGTTTAAAGGTAAAACGCCTCTTCAAAGATTTAGCCATGTTAGTATGCTATAATAAATCTGAAAATTGGACCTTGCTTATCAGCATTGGAGAATATGGACTGCAGGATAATTTTGACTGTATGGAGGCATTTAATTAACTATGAAATATGCAAATTGAGTGAATATTTTGCAAAATTATTTTTTATCTATTTATGAGTAGAGTGTACTCTCGATTATCCGTGTGTGGCAGTGCCCACATATGCACACTCAGTGCTATGCAGGAGGGTGTGCAAAAACAAACCCATAAAAGCTTGAGTAGGCTCTAAATGCGGCTGAGTTGTGTCTACATTTAGTTTCAGTAATTACCATGTGCAACTTTTCTGTATGTGCAACTTTTCTGTAAAGATATCATTTTGGTTGATCATCAGGCTTTTTTTTGTTTCGTATGCATTTTCTTGCATATTTTCTTTTGACGCTTAAAAATCAGTTAAAAAAATGTGAATAATGAATATGCTACAAGTACTAAGTGTATAACAAAAATTTAAAAATGTAAAATTATATGAAAATGTTGACCAGGAAAACATTGAGGCATGGTTCGATGGGGATTAAACTGAGCAAAGCTTTTAGTGCTTGAGTGATACGGATATCATTTCAAATATCAGAAGAACAGTATCAGAGAGTGATATTGAAAATGTAAGGGAAGAAAGATACTGACAATTACGTTAGTCTTTTGACAGCAAAGACTTGTGTTGAACCTCTGTTGGACTTTGTCAATCAAATAAAATTAGAATACGGTGATGAAATAGCACTTTGAAAAATGCATGGGGAAATTCGACAAATATTTAAACATTCTGAAAAACAAAATTACTGATTTTTTGAAGAAATAAATACTGATTTTTTGTAGAAATAAATACATACAATTTGTATGAAAGTTGATAGTTTAGATTATCTGTGACCTACTTTCCTGGCATTAGCCCACATATTTGAGAGTACACTGTATTTAATGTGTAATGGCAGAAGTACCTGTGTCTCTTATATGCCTACTTAATTGCATTTGAATTAAAGAAAAACTATTTTGGACCAGTTATATATTGTGCATTGAGCAAATTATACTAATTTGTATTTCATGGCTAATAAGCTGAAAAAGGTAAAATACGTCTTGGAAAAATATATTTGGACTTGAAGAGCTTGTGTATATTTTTATTTCCTCGAGCATAAAGATACTTATATGGAACGAGTCAGTAAATTATGAGAAAAATATAACTAATTCAATGAAACTTCAATATTAAAAATGATTGGTCACTGGAACATAACATTGGATTCTCAGTCAATGTAAATGTTATTTCTGATGCATTTACATTCTTGAGAATTGAATGACTGATTGATAATATTTTAGAATTGCAGCAATGAAAGATAAAAAATAATATGAAGCTATTATGAAATATCCTTTATTAAATTATAAGTAACTAATAATTAATGTAGGAAAGATAATTTCATTTGAACTCAGATAGTATGTAGTTTATGCAAACAGTGGATTAGGTATCTACTTAATTAGCTATACTTACCTTAGATTTAGCTTAGTATTAAAAAGAGTTTTTTTTTTCTGGTGTTCTTTTGTCATGAATAATTCCTTGAAGGTAGTAAGCAATATTGTTTTACAATACCATGGTGAAAATATTTTGCAAAAAGCCTTCAAATATAAAAAATATAAAACTGTAATTATGTATTCTGTAAAATGTATAAATATAAAATATTTATGATGAAGTATATATTATGAAATTTTTATGAAATGCAAAAAAGTCAGATGCTCAATAGAAATATATATCTTCGATTTCAAGATAATTTTGTATTGTTCAGAACACTGAAAATCTTGATGATTTTATCATCAACTTTTGAATTCTGTGAAGTTTGGTTATGGAATTGTTTTAGAAATCCTAGCAGTTCTATAGTACGTGGCATTTTATGTTATTTTAAGTTAAGATAAACTTTTTTTAAAGCCCAGTAATCTGCCTAGTGAGAGGCAGTTTGCCTTTTAATTTTTCCTCACAGACTTGTTATTTGGTGCTGAATTTTAATTTGAGAGTTTTATTAATGTATATTCTTGTCATTTTTATATTTTGTTTCTATAATTACTAATGAATTTCAAATTGCTACTTATATATATATAAAGTCGTTTTATTCATGGTAAAAAAATTTTTCATTGTGCGAAAAAGTGCCAGTCTTCCTCGAGAGACTGACTAGATTTTTAATTTATTAATCTCCAAATTCTTAATAATGTATGAAAGAAAACATTATTGTAATGAAATACATGCTTTTATTTTAGTTACTGTTTTATTTTTCTCTCCACCATTGTTTTTCTTTTTTATTATTTTGAGTTTTTTATCAATAAAAATATGTAAGGCCTTAAATTTATATGAAAATGTAGCATTTTGTGTATGTAAATTTTGTGTTATGAAGATCTTTGTTGTGGGTTTGATTTGTTTAAAATCCCTTATTTTTTACAATTTCTCTTGGGTCAAAGGAGAATTTGGAAGTGATAGATAAGTCTTTTTTTTTTTTTTTTTTTTTTTTTTTTTTTTGCCATAAAGTTTTAAGGCAAAAAGTTTATGTCTTTTGCTATTACAGCTATAAATAAATGGGATAAATTTTGTTCTGAAATTTCAAATATGATTTTGTGGAAATGCAGTAAAAGCCCGACTATCTGGCATACAACTAAATGAAAAGCTCAAGTAACCGGAATAGTTAATTAAAGGAAAATTTTTCCCCATAATTTAGTAAATGTGAGATTTGCATTGTGGTTATAGAGCTCATAATATTATTAACATATATGGTTTAATGCCAATAATGGATAAGCACGATGTCACAAATAGTTTAAAAAAATTTTTTTTGGTGTAAATTCGACTAATTCTCAATAAGCTGGATTTACTTTTTGTAAAGATATACATTCTATTTTTTACTCGCATATGGGGGAAAAAATCATAGTTATTTGAGACTGCATTGTGAGGAGTATATACAGGACTGTAAGTTACAGGATCCGGCCATTAAACAAAGCCATGGTAAACAACTTTGAAGAGGAATAAACAATGGCAGTGAAATGTGAAAAATTGATAAGTGATTAAATTTTTTGTATTCTGTATCCGTAATTTTATCTCTTTAGTATCTAAATAATGAATGAGTTGTTCATTTAAATGCCTACTGGAATGATTGGCGACATCTTCACCAGCTTTCATATTCAGAGAATTTCATAATAATCAAAATATGTTGGCTTTTATGACTGAAATGCTTTAAAAAGTATTATAACAAAATAAAGTAAATAAATAAAATTAATTTAAAAATATATAATTTTAAAAGTAGTCTTTTGATATAAAATGTGGTAGCAAATAAGCTGATTGCTTTTATAAGTTTAGAGTAGAAAACGTTTTCCATTGTTCTGGCTTTTATATTTAAATTTCATTTGTTATATACATAACTGTCCAAAATTTTCATGAATCTGGACTTTGGCATTTTCCCTGTTTTCTGGATAGTCAGGCTTTTATTGTATTATAATTATGATGATTTTGATGAATTGGGTTAATTTTTGTTTGTTTGTTTGTATTGGAAATG